CGAGTTGAGTCTTAGCATAGAGTTGAGTAGTCGAGTTGAGTCGAGTTGAACCAAACCCGGTTGGGGTAGAATGAGATTTTTGAGTGAGAGAAAAAGATTAAAGCATATAGGTGAGGAGTGATTTGCATTAAAAGATTGAGCTTGGGTATTAAGTTGTAGCCTGTTAACAATTGAGGTACCATTTAAAACTTCTACACACAAATCCTTTGATTTTGATGGCCTACCCATAATACCCATTTCACTTTTCCATTTTCATGTTTATCTTCATCTTCTTCCTTTCCTCTTCCACCTTACTTTCAATATTCATGGTAGTTAAGCCTTAACTTTAACTTCTCTTTTATCCAAGTAAGTAAACCTTCTTGAAGTTCATAATTGAATCATTTGGTGCTATTATTTTAGAATTCATAAGAATTCTTATTTATAGGTAAGAAGTCTTATTTATAGGTGAAGGGAGTTCAAAGATAGAAGAAAAAGAAGCTAAGCGAAGAACTCAAAGCTTTGGGAGTAAAGGTTTGATATCTCTTGTTATTTTTTATTTCTTTGCATGAGGAATTGTGTGGTGGTATGCTATTGACGACAATCTTGCTTTATGATTGAGTGGAGGACTGGTATGGTGAGAGAAAAACAGGGGAAAACCAAAGGGGGGTAATGAAGAAATTGAAGTAAAGAGTAGAGTTTATTGTTGAAACAGGTTTTGCTGGAGAATCTTTACCAGGTAGCTTCATCTTTGATTTTGACCCTATTTATTTGATGGAATTAGGAAGTGTCATAAGAAGGTTATTTGTTCTAGTGTCATAGAAGAGTTATTTGTTCCTCTATGTGTTAGCTTTATATGGGTTTTTGAATCATCCAAATTGGAGTTGTATATTGAGAGATATGACCACAAGAGTACAGACAATGCAGGCTGGAAGCGCGCGCGAATTGCATGATGAGTTCGCGTTGCCTTCTCGCGCTCCCGAATTTGACCTACGCGCTCGCGACTTTCACCTGAAACTCTCTGACTCTTATTTAGCACATCTTGCGCTCACGACTTTCAAGTACACGGTCGCGACTTGTGCTCGCAAACTCTCTGACTCTCATTTGGCACATCTCCCCGACTGTGAAGGTTGCGACGCTCGCGTACTTTGGCCCTTAGGCCTGTAAGCGCTCGACCTTCCTAGCGCGCTCAGCGAATTTAGCTGGGAACTCACTGTCTACTCATTGGCATTCGTCGCGCTCCACGACTTTCAGTACGTGCTCGCGACTTGTGCCCGATAACTCATGTCTCTCATTTTGCATTCTACGCGCTCGCAGATTTAAGTACGCGCTCAGCGACTTGCTGTATTTTCATTGCACTTTTGGATTTCTTTTTCAATGCAATTGTATTTTTCTTTATGCTTCCACTTAGATTGCCTCTAATCATTATTTAACATCCAATACAACAATTAGAACATGTAATAAAAACAACATTCAAGCATGCAAATGATGTGAATCAAATAAAAACATTATGATGCAAATTGAAGTTATGAACTATTAACTGTGATGTTGTGTTATATTATTGTATTACCAAACATTTATGCTCCATATGAGGTTAGGTAGAAACCATGTAGGATTAGGCTATGTCGCGACATTTAGGATAGCAGATTTGCACCTCAATACAGTTTGGTACTCCGGCTACAGGCCGTATGACTGGACTTATGATTATATGGGCCATAGCAGCCAAGCATACAGTATTCAATCCAGTTTCATATAGTTTTTCTTTCACTTCGGTTTTCACTATAACCTTATGGAGCCATACAGACTATCTTGACATAACATTCCATGAATTATACAGTATTATAAATATAAACAGTACAAAAGATAATCAAGGTATCATGAAAGTATCATAATGTGTGAGCTTATATGTGCCATATATGTTTACATGGTTCTTTCTATACATGTAAGTGTTTAATTGTTTCTTTATCTGTTGAATGTTTACATGGTTGGTTCTTTCTATATATGTATGTGCTTATTTGTTTCTTTATATGTTGAGAAATCCACTGAGCATTATTTGCTCAGCGAGTTCAAATTTTAGGGAGAGTTGGTATTTGGTACCTATAAATATATGAAATCAAATTTTTAGTCTCCACCTTTTGAAAATACATGAATAAGTCCTTGTAACTTAGGATTTATTCGGCAAAATTAATTATTTTAGTACCTGTTAGTTGTTTTAATAGTGTTTAGCTGTCAGCTATTTGAGTAGTTTTTCATAAAATACTAGCTAAACATTACATGAGTTAACTTTTTATAAAATACTACTTTAATTTCTAAAAGCTAGTTCAAGCGCCATATTGCCGAACAATATACAAAATAGCATTTAGTATTTTGAATAGTCAAAACGCTAAAAGCAACTTAAAAAGATTGTTGTCAAACATAGGCTTAGTAGCGTTTAGTTCTTTGAGTAGCATTTCATAAAATGCTAAAAGATAAACATTAAATGAGTTAACCTTTTATAAAATGTTACCCTAACCTCTAAAGCTAGTTTAAACGCTATGTTATTTAACATTGTAAAAAATAACATTTTAGCATTTTGACTTAAAAAGTTGTTACCGAATACAACCTGAAACAGTACAATAGTTTAGTCTTCCTTTCCAAATATTAAACTTTCTTTTTTATTAATTCTACATGTAAATTTATAAGCGTAACCTTATTTTTTCAATAAATCAATTATGGATAATAATAATTATCTATGTTATTAAAAAAATTTTTGAACATAAAAAGTACAATAAAAATAGAATTTTTAATATTTTTAATAAAAATCAACCGGAAAAGTATGCGATTAATGGAATGATTTCTATATCCAACGGAGGCAAACCACAAAGAGATGCATTAATGTATCTTTGAAAATATAAAAATTTAGTTAATTTCACAAAATTAAAGGACAAAATAATAATTTACCTATCATTTTATAAAAGTCAAAATTTGAGAGTTATAGTATTTTGATGAGATAGGAAGTTATTTATTGGTCGGTTCCATTTCCATAGATATAAAGTTTGTTCAAGTAGTATAGATAAAGATATCATCTTATATGACTGAGGGGACTGAATATGAACTATGGTCAGAGGCATCATCGTGATTCGGTTTCAAATCGAAACCGATCTGAATTGAATCAGTCAAATCTAGCATCAAATCCTGGTTGACGATACCCGGTTTTAAATCGTAATCGAAACCGTATATTTATGGTTCAATTTCAATTCTTTATTTTTTAAAATTGGAATCCAGAGTTTTGATTTAAGAATAGTGGTTCCAATTTGAAATCAAGAGAAATTTTTTTTTTCAAATGTTTATTATATTATAATTTTTTAAATAAATTTTAAGATTTAATTTGAATTGGTAAATCTAAACAAGAATTTTAAAAGTTTGAAAAAAGTTATCTAATTTCGTTCCACACCTGAATGGAACTGAAAGTGGCGGTTCTAAAATTGCCTAAAAGCGGTTCGGTTGTGGTTCCACCATTATTATAGTCGGAACGGACAGTATTCAAATCAAAACAACACTTCTGGAATCGTAATCATGTCTAACTATGATTAATGCTATTATTTAAGAAGGTAAAGTTTTAATCCAACAAACAATCTTTTCACTTTATAAAAATAAAATAATATATGATTCAGGATAAACACTTATAAATTTATTTGAACATTAACATTTCTAATGAAACAATATTGGAATGGGAACAGGCTTATTATTCAAAAGGGATCTATTTCTATTTTTACAAAAAGTAATCCATCCAAGCAATTTATAAAGCACATGTTGAAATGGGTGAAATCAAATGAGTGGATTAGTTCTTTAGGATTGTAGCTATTTTTCATCATTCCAATCTTCAGTATGTGCATCAAAGAGAATGAAAAAACTAAATTTCTAACCACCATAAGTTCAATCGTTAATTAAAATTATAGCAACACAAAATCAATAAAAGCAAATGAGTAAAATTTTTTATTAGACATTTTTTTACCAATCTTTTCATATTCTTCCTGAGAATGCTTTATCAATTTAACCATACGCTAAATTCAATCAATTTTTAGAGTTTTTAATAATGAACAAAAAAAAAAAAGTTCCTTTTAGAGTTTTGTGAGATGACCATTTATAGTTCAAAAGCTTTTTAACTTTTGTATTGATTCAGGATTTTATATATATATATATTAGCTTCCGCAACATCCTCCAAAATTTGCAGCAATGTTGCTATTTCTTCTTCTTCTACTAACTTCCATATCTTCTAAAGCAATAGCTCAACAAGTAGCTTCTAATATCAGCTTAGATTCATTTCTCACTCCCTCTAACATTTCATATTGGTCTTCAGAATCTGGCCATTTCGCTTTTGGTTTTTATCCACAGGGCAATGGCTTTGCTATAGGCATTTGTTTCCCTAGAATCCAGGGAAAAACTGTCATATGGACAGCAAAACGGGAGGACTCCCCTCTTCCCGGGGACGCCAGACTGATCTTGGATAGTAAAGGTAGACTTATTTTGCAAAGAAGAGGAGGTGGTGAACAGAAACTCATTGCAGATACTGTTAAGCCTGCTTCCTCAGCTTCATTGCTCAACTCTGGTAACTTTGTACTCTACGATTCAGAGTTGAATATTATATGGCAGAGTTTTGATTTTCCAACGGACACCATTTAATCAGGACAGCGTCTAGTGGCTGAGGAACAACTTGTGTGTAGCATTTCTAATATAAATCATACGAGTGGAAGATTTGGACTAAGGTGCGAAGCAATGGAAATCTGGTAATGTTTACATTAGAATACCCATTTCAAAGAAACTATTTTTACTGGAAATCAGGTACAGGAAATTCTGGAAAAAATGTAACTCTAAATCTTGATAGCAACGGTCTCCTATACCTGCTTAATCGTAATGGTGTTAATATATATACTCTAAATGATGGAAGAAATATATCTGGTAAATCTATATATCGTGCAACAATGGACACTGATGGAATTTTCAGGTTGTATTCACATAATTTGGATAAAAATGGTAGTTGGTAAATGGAATGGGAGTCATCCAGCAACAAGTGTGATCCTACTGGCTTGTGTGGCTCTAATGCGTATTGTATTGTTGTTGATCAAGTCCGTAAGTGTGTCTGTCCTCCTGGTTTTGATTTCATTGACCAAAACCAGATAAGAGTTTCGGGTGCCAGCAAAATACCAGTACAGGTGGTTGCTTAAATAGACAGGAGATTAGTTTTGTTGTTGAAGAAGGTGTAACCCGTGAAGCCAACCCATGTTCTACTCTTCCATCTAACACGAAAGAAATGTGTAAAGAGGATTGCTTAAAAGACTGTTATTGTGAAGCTGCAGTTTTCATTAACCAGCTTTCCAGAAAGCAAAAGCTTCCATTAAGGTCTGGGAAAGTTGAACAAAGTAAAACAGTTACAACTTTTATCAAAACAAGAATTGGTGAACCCAAGAATAGAAAGGAAGGTCTGAGAACAGGAATTGTTATGACATGTATTGTAATCTCAACTCTTGCAGTTTCATTTCTGATAATTTTTGGTATTCTTTTCTATAGATACCGTGTTTGGAACTACAGAAGATTTCAAGTCTAGGAAATGATGAACTTTTTGGAGATGTCATTTTGCGAGCATTTACATGTGATGAGCTCCAAAAAGCTACAAACAATTCCAAGGATGAAATTGGTAAAGAAGGATTTGGTACGGATTAAAGGGGTCATATCAAATGGCCATAAAGTTGTGGCAATCAAGAGGCTGGATAATGTTGTGGCTGAAAGCGAAAGAGAATTTTGAAATGAGATGAACATAATAGGGAGAACCCATCACAAAAACTTGGTTAAATTGATTGGTTACTGCCATGATGGAACTAACAGGCTTCTGGTGTACGAGTACTAAAGCAATGGTTCACTTGCAGAATTTCTTTTCAAGTCCGAGCAAAAACCTTCTTGGGAGGCAAGAGTTGAAATAGCACTAAACATAGCTCGAGGCATCGTCTATTTGCATGAAGATTGCAATACTCAGATCATCCATTGTGATATCAAGCCCGAAAACATACTAATGGATGAAAAAGAACGCGCAAAACTTGCTGATTTCGGTCTATCCAAGCTGTTAATGCACAACTGATAAATGTTACTTTTCATGACAATATGATACAAAGCTATGCCCAGATTTTGCTCTTTTTGTTTCTTTTTCGATATTTTGTAATGTAATTAATGAATGTACCAGAAGTTTGAATGAATTGTGGTGGAGCTTATTTTTAGCTTTAGATAAGGGAACAAATTTCCTTAAATTATGGAGATTTGGTATTGACTCATACTCATACTCTTTTTCAGCTCCTTATCTTCTTCTTCTTCTCTATATCTGTATACAAAAAAGTTCCTACAACAAACAATCCAAGACTTAAACTAGAAATAAGGGGAACAGGGGGATATGTTGCACCAGAGTGGCACACTAACTTACCAATAACTGTCAAAGTAGATGTGTACAGCTTCGGAATCATGTTATTAGAGATCATATGCTGCAGAAGGAATGTGGACTTAGATGCACCAGACAACGAAGTAGTATTAGCAAGTTGGGTCTATGATTTAAGGTTAAGGAGCTGGATAAGCTAATTAAAAACGAAGACGTTGAGGAGAGTAAAATTGAGAGGATGATAAAAGTGGGACTTTGGTGCATCCAAGACGAGCCATCATCACGGCCATCAATGAAGAAGGTGGTACTGATGTTGGAAGGGACAATAGACATACCAGACCCTCCTACTGTTTCATCCTTTTCCAGTTCTGTGCAGTGATGACCTTTGCATATAATCTTCTACTTGAGGCTTATGGGTCTCACACGACCATTTCATAGGCATATTAGATTTTCTGATTGGTTTTGTTGTACCTGTAGGACCTGAGTTTAACAAGATTATTGATTGTTAAGCAACTATTCAATTTTGTGCTAATGTTTAATTAGTTAACTTTCTCCGTATAATCTGTTATGTTTTCCTTTTCTTTTGCTTTCAATTTAAATTATACTTGTTGTTACTATTCAGTAAACTAGACATGTTAAATAACGACATCAAACTGTTAGAAAAAAATTAAGAAAACAGGTAATGTTTAAATTTCCCAAATGCCGGCCAGATGGACATCCGAACCAATCAATTCCAGTGAAAGCACATGCATATACTTCTAATCTTGTTTCCTGGAAATCATATCATATGATTGCTGCAATGCATAAAATGCAAGTAATCTAAATAGGTTTACTTGGTAAAGAGCAAGGCCTAATTGAAAATGAAGCGAATTTTTCTTTTCTTTTACTAAAATAAGTTAATTAAAGAAAGAAAAGCCAGAATAGGGTCCGTGGCCATAGCAACGCATTAATTGCACTTTTCTTGACTTCTTATCAGTAATTTCCAGGACAAAATACTGAAAAGTTTTGAAATTTGAACCCAGAGAAATTTAATAATTTCTTCAATTCCATATATTCTGGAATTTAAGCATGAATTGAACTCTCTTTTAGGATGTATCTGACAAAGAAAATGAAGGAATTTTTAAGGATGTTACTCTAAGATCATTTACATATGAAGAACTTGAGAGGGCAATTGATGACTTTAATGAAAAATTGGGAAGGGAAGCTTTTGGGAGTGTTTAAAGGGAGCCTTGTCAGATGGGCAGATAAGTTGTTGCAGTTAAGAAATTGGAGAAAGCTGAAGGAGAAGTGAAATCCCAGAATCAGATGAATTGATAGAACTAACCATAGAAATCTTGTTCAATTACTCGGTCACTACCAAGATAAAGGCAACATAATTCTAGTTTATGAGTACATGAGCAATGGATCACTTGCAGACTTTATGTTCAAATTTTCTTTTGGTGGCTTGTGCTTTTTCATTTTTGTATAAGACTACTTAAGAAGTTTGATTGAAATTTCCAGCAAAATGTAAGAAAAAACAGTAAAATTATTATTATTATTATTATTTTCTCTTTTAGAGATTGAAAATTCAAGAAAAATGAGAGGGGAACGGACAATAATAAGAGTTACTTCAGATACAGCATTCGCGTTTTCTTTCCGCGCCACAACTATTTTGACGTGTCATAATTCTATTGGTTGAACAAAAAGAATACATAAAATCTACCACACTGAATCGTGAATCGATCCCCAATTCTCTTACAGAGCCAACCCCCCTAAGAAGATAGTTTAAGAAAAAATATCAAGGGTTTTCTCAGTAACCACGATTCCAAAGCCAAATGTCTTTTTGATCGAAATTAGGGCTTTTGTTTTTGTTGAATTCCTCCTTTCAGTCCAAAACTCGTACACTCTCTTCTCTTTCACTGAAGTCAGTCGCAAAAGAGCCCGAAACATGACGGACGGGTACTGGAATCGGCAGCAGCATCCTCTTCTGTCCTCCGGTGGCGGTGGCAATCTAAAACGACCTCGTACCGAATACGGTAAGATCTTTCACTTTCTTCTCTTTTTAAATTGCTTCTATTGATGGAACGTTTTCTTTTTTTAGGAAAAATTGCATATTTACTTCTTGTTTGGTAAGAGATTATTCCGTTTATTAGGACGTAATTATTTCCGTAAAGTAATTAGAAATTTACTTAATTAAAATCTTTATTAAGTTAATTAGTATGCTTGATTCTGTTTGTGAAATGTAAGATAGCATTGGTATTCTATCTAGACTTTAATTTTGTGGAAAATGGAAAATTAGTGCTTGAGCAATTAGGGTTCTTCTATTCAGCCCCTATAGGACTTAAACATAATCTGGTGTGGTTATGGAGTTCACTCAATTTTGAATGTGAAATTTTCTTGGACCATTTGCTTATATTGTTTTGAGGACTGATTCATGTAATTTAACAAGATTGAGAGTATGAAATTGCAAGTCCTTTTTAAATATTATCTGCTTTATCCAGTATAATGAGAATTGCTCAGCTTTAATCTTAATGTTGATTCAATTTCTGTTGAATGCCATTCATTTTAACCTGCGTTAGTTTGACATTGAAGCATTACCTGGTTTTGACGTCATTTTAAAGATTTTTCTTGTCAGAATTGGAATTTTTGTTGTGTATTTTTGCATATACAAGATCATATTACTCCACTGGTAACTTGGAGGTCATGGTCTGAGTAATAGAAACAACCTCTCTATAAAAGCGGAGAGAAGGCTGTGTGTATAAACCCTCCTTAGAGCCCACAAATGTGGGATGCTTGGTGCAGTGAGTCACCTTTTATAGGATCCTGTTAATAGTGCCATTGTTCTAAGCAGTGTCAAAATTCATTTCTCAGCTTTCTTTTCTTTTAGTAGTGATTATTCGCTATTAGAATTTACAGATGATTATCAAACAGAAAAATTGGCTTACGCTGTTATAAGTTGCTCTGCCCTTTATATAACGAATGCTATAGTTATTTAGATGAACCACTTTTGTAAATTGGTACTTCTTTTGTGCTTCTTTTAGCGTTGAACTTGAGTTTGTGATTTATCAGACCAACTTTTTTGTGATATTGTAGTTTAACTATGACCCTGTGTTTTCTCTTAAAATCCTTCCTGAAAAATCCTAAAATAGATTAAGCAACATTTTGTTAATTGCCTTCTACTAAATTTAATGGGTCCATATCATTGTCCTTCTTAAGCAATATTCTCTACATAGGGTAAAACCCATTTCAGTCAGAAGTACTTAAAAATCATGGATGTTTCCAAGTAATTTAATCTGTGTCTTTAGTAATTTGATATATATGCTTTCTAGTAATTTAATATGTCTTCCTGCCTACCATTGTCAACTCTAGGTGCAATTCCTTTTTAGCATAAAGTTTGTTGAGCTATCCAAATAATGTTTTTGTTTTGTTTATACTTCAAATGCCAATGGGCATTTAAAATTCAAATGAAGTTCTTTTGTTTTCTTGACTTTATCTTCCATGTTCAGCTGCTGTATCTACATACTTGAGAAAGAGAAATAGATTATTTTGAGAATGAAACTTATACTTAAGTTTCTATTTTGAGCTTTCAGATCTCCCAACATCAGGCCTGCCTTCAAGCCACGAGATTCATAACTACTATCCAAGAGATGATGAACGCAGTAGGTATCAGGCTGTGAAGGATACAAAGACAATTGGATCAGCATATGACCGCTATCTGCAAAATGCAGTACTCTCTTGAACCTTCTGCTGTTTTTATAAATTTATTTTTTTTCCTCCTCACTTGTAAAAGGTTGTTTGCTTATTTAGTCATCCTAATTGCTTTTGAAGCAAATGGCCTCTTTTTCTTCTGGAGAACCTAGTGGGTTAAGCGTTGGGTTGGGAAGGGCTGGTGGTGGTGGGATTACCGGTCTTCCAATACTTGATTCTGGTATGACAGGCCGTCCTCGGGCTAGTATTCCTGATCTGGCACCAAATGGACGAGACATTGGTTTTGGTAGTCAATCCTCATTGGATGCAATATCTAGGCCTGTTCGTGAAACTGTACCTCTACCTCCAGATGCTTCCAGCACTCTATATGTCGAGGGACTCCCTCCAGACAGCACAAGGAGGGAAGTAGCTCGTATCCTTTTGACGTTATAATGGTGTTAATTGTTAAGTGATTGTGGTGGCCTTTGTTAACCAAGGTATGTTTCTGCAATTTCTTTTTTTGGTATTCCTTTACTGGATCTTCAGATATCTTTCGCCCTTTCGTGGGATATAAGGAAGCGCGACTTGTGAGCAAAGAATCTAAGCATGTAACTACTCGTCCTATAATATTTCTTTACCCATATGCGGTTCCTTACATGTCAGAAGTATGACTCTGTCTTCATAATAATGCAGCGTGGTGGAGATCCTATTATCCTCTGTTTTGTTGACTTTGAAAATCCAGCCTGTGCAGCAACTGCTATGAGCGCTTTACAAGGTCATGTTGTTATCTTTTTCTCAACCTTGAAAGAAACCAAAGCAAGGGATTTCCATGTGCTAACATTAAATATTTTGTTTCTGCAGGTTATAAAATGGATGAACATGACCGTGAATCTAGTTTCTTGAGGCTACAATTTTCTCGGTACCCTGGTCCAAGATCTGGCTCTGGAAGTCGTGGAAAGAGGTGAACAAACTTTTGTTGAAGAATGAAGATAGTGATCATGAATGTGAAACAATTGTCTATTTTCTAATTTATTCCCCCTTTTGAGGTCTGCATTTTTTCTTTTAGCAATACATCTCTCCACAACTTGCAATTTGAATTACTTGATCATGGCAACACTAATTGTTTAGTACTTTAGATCAACATAGTAGTGAATGGGAAATTTCAAAGATTAATTATGTAAACAAACAAAGAGAGACTTTTTAGATTTTTTACTAGAGATGAACCTGTAGTTCTTTCTTGGAGCAGAAAAAGTGTTGTAAGATAATCGTTAGATGCTGAGCCTCTTCTGATTTTTCGTTCATTTGTAATCTGATGTTTGGAATGTGTGAATCTGAAATGCTACTAAATTTATAATCAAGAAATCATTGTGTTTTTCATTTTGTTTAACTGTAACATACAATTTCTATACGAGATCCTTTAAGGTGGCTTATGCGTATGAAATTATGCCATTAAACGACAGCGTTATGTTGTTAATTAACGTATCAGCTGTGAGCACAAATGCTTATTGCTTACTATTTATTAGGTGAGAAAGGTCCGCAGTAGGTTTGGCATGGAGTTCGGTTCAACTGCGTAACCCAGCTGAACCGAATTCGTGGCCCGAACTAAAGAAATTTTGACCCTGAAAATATACTAATTACTTTACAACGCACGTGTTGAATCGAACCGTTTTTAAGGGCTTTGCAACAATTCCCCGTTCTTCGGCTATTGCCTCACCAAATTTTACTTGGAAATAACTTTCAGTCAAATGCATGGATTTCCTTTATGGGATTTGTCCTTCGACACCTTCAAGTTTGTGGAGACATTTCGTGATCCTATATTTTTACATTTCAGTAATAATTATAATAACGTAGGGATGGTGGTCAGGAATGTAATAGCTTTAGATGTAATGAAGATTACACATGATTACAGTGTAATCATTTATGTAATGTAATTTTCATTTCGCTGCATGGTTGATTATAAATACCCAACATAAATGATTACCTAACCAGCAGTTAGGTAAAGGCCTTATTGGCCAAGAGTCTCAATTTTGGAAGCAAAGTTTTGATTAATTGATTGCATTGGGCCAAAAAATCCATTATGACTAAAGAAATTAATCTCCTAATTAATAGTACTCTCTCTTTATTTAATTAACACATCAAATTGAAAATTTCGTTAAAAAGAAAATTATATACAGATATATTATACAAAAATATAATTAATACTATGTCTTTGTTAATCTCCCAATGAATATAAACGTACTTATAATTAAATTATTTATTACTAACATCTAACTAAATTTCCCCATTAGCCAAATTATTATACATTTATATAATTCTACCGATCTAATTTTTCCACGAGGGCAAATAACAAAAGGAGAAGAAGACACGTTACAGTTTTTGCATGGCATCTTCAAAACATATACCTAACAAAGTTCATTATCACATGTTATATCAATTGATTGATATATAAAAAAAAAAAAGTCTAATTAATTAATTAATTGCATTATCTTATTTTACATCAATTGATAAAGTTATGATCTGTTTTGGCTTTTGGCTGTAAAATCAATTTATTTTTCTATTAATTAATTAACCTATTCCTTTTCTTTTCCTGATTCAGATGCTTTTTATGTTCCCATTTGCGATAACATATCAATGATAAATCTAAGTTTTTTCACTATGATATGTGAGATTTAGACATTGTTTATAATTGAAAAATAATCATTTTTGAAAATTAAAAGCAAAATACTCAATTGGATAAACGATACTATTGAATCTGGCTTATTAGGCTTCATCAAATGATACACTGTAAACACTGTGTATCTCATACTCTCAAGCTATTAAATTTCCTGACCACCATCCCCGTTTATTACAATTATTACGGAAAGTAAATATAGATCAACGCAAATGGTCTCCACTACTGAAAGGTTCGAGACAATTCCCATAAGGAAATCCATGCCATTGACTGGGAAAGTTATTTCCAAGTTAAAATTGTGTGAGTGAGCGCTGTTTCACTTAGTGGTGGAATCAGGGTCATTTCTTTAGTTGGGCAGAATTCGGTTCAGCGGGTTACGGTGGTTGGCCTGTAAAATCAATTTGATTTTCCTATTAATTAATTTAACTATTCCTTTTTCTTTTCCTGATTCAGATGGGCGGTGTGTAGTGGGTTCGGCATTTGCGATAAATATCAATGCATAAATGCTAGTTTTTCACTATGATATGTAGATTTTAGACATTGGGTTTATATTGAAAAAATAACATTTTGAAAATTAAAGAAAATTATATATATAATAATATATATAGTATATATAGTAATATATATAATATATATTTGTTTAATTTGCATGATAAATAGAAGTCATAAACGTTTAAAAATATAAAAGTAATAGTAGTGATGTGCAAATTTTTTTTCTTTTTTTTTATTTTTTTTTTTATAAATGAGAGGCTCAATTGATCGAAATAACATAATGAGCTACTTAATAGGAGATAAACTCTCCCTTTTGAATAATATTTATTAAATTGGTAAAATATGAGACCTAACCGATTCTCAAATTGGTAATATAAAACTCAATGAATCGAAATAACAACACGCGCTCAGCAGCAAAAAGGTACCCTTTCTGACAAATAATATCACAAAACTAATAGTAAATTTCAATGATGGAAGGAACTCGAACTTGAGACATATCATTTCTCGTATTTCTCTCGTATCTTCTAAGGAATATGTAAAGACAAATCAGATTAGCTTTTAGTTAAAAGGTGTTTGATTGCTTGGTGGAATATGGATTTGATAGGCGCATAATGTATACTTGGATTAATCAATTCATACAGCTGTAAAATAATTAATCAATCTAATCACGTTTAGTGAATGCATTTCTACCAAATTACATGTCAGGCAGTCAATTTTAGTTATCAAAGTTCAAAAGGAAGATTGATGATTAATTATTCAACTAGTCAATTTCGTTATTTTGGCCAAATGCTCACAAATGCCCCTCAATTTTATGATTCCTTTTTAATTTATTTAATGAGTTAGTCATTTTGATATCATCTTTTTAATTGATAAACTGGGGTTAATTTTTTTTTTTTATTGAATTTAATTTTTTGAAATTAGGTTTTAAATTATATATCTACAGTTATTCGTATTTATTGCATCCTGTTTCTTTCTCTTCTTCAATGGCACATGAAGATTGTTTTTCCCAATTCAAAAATTTGGAGGGCCTAATTGACATTGACAAAATAAAAAGGTCCTATCGAGTTTTAATGTAAAGTCGAGGTGCTTATCTGACAATTTGGCACATTTTTTTGGGACAGTTCATCTTTTCTTTCCTATTGTCCTAAATATAGTCCACTTTCTTTTTTTATACTATAATTAATTTTTGAATTGTCTACTATATCTGTATTAAATTTTACTTTATTTTCAATAATCTTCAATAATTCTTAATTATTATTCCAATACTCATATGTTATTTAAAATGAGTATAATAAGAGAGTTATATGAATAAAATTGTCTTTTAACCATATTTATTAATCTGTATGAAAATAAAAAGCGAATTATCTTTTTGAGACGAAAGAGCAGTATCAATAATGTAAATGATTGCCTTGAAAACATAAAATTCTAAAATATGCTAACCAACTGGGGATAAACAAATAGTGATTGGCTACTAACTTAAATATTGTAAAACACGTGTAATTTGGTAGGCACTAGTCATTTTCTCATTGGAAATAGAGATCATCTCAAAGAGATTTTTTTTTTTTTTTTTAAGATTATGTCCTTGCACAACATACATATATTCTAGATATATCGCATAGACACGCACTAGTGGGACTAGAAAGCTAATCATCTACTAGTAAGATAATAGAGTACTATTAAATGTTAAATCACTACGTGTAATTGTGTGTACGGCTCAACTTAGTCTATTTGGGAAAAAATTCTCACTTGATTAGAGATCAATCTCCATGAATTTTTTTTTTTTTTTTTATCTCACCAATCATTATCAATTTTCATTGTATTTTTTGTTTCTCATCCGAAGTGACATCGAATATTAATACTATGAGTATATTAAAAAAATAAAGTTGAAAATTTTACTTCAATTATTTTTTAATCTATTTTTATTAGACCGAAGAAGTATTTATTTAAGGTGGAATAAGTAAAGAAAATAATCTAAAATAATTCAAGTTGCACCTTATGGTTATGGGTGTAGAATTTGGAGTTCTAATGTTTTTTTTTATTATTATTATTATTATTTTGATTTCAGAGAGAGTTGCTATCCAGCCATGGAGGATGGATAACACCAATTCCTTGAAAAGGAAGGTTGTGATGAACTATTACTAATTGAGCCACAAGAATGCCCCACTTGGTGGCGCGACTCATGCTGTTTTTTCATGATTCAATATTTTAGGATTCAAGGCATAGAATTGTACTAGTAAAAAATATTTTAAAAAAGATCAAGAATAGCTCATACCAAGATAACAAAATATTTAATACCCCTTTGATGATTTGAGTCCCATTAATCTAAAACTTATATTTCTCTATCCCTAAATAATATTTTCCTAATTGACAACAACTCTATTACATTGGTTTATATTCAACTCTCCTTAATGTTTTGAGTTTAAATTAGATTGTCGAGGACTATTAGTATATGAAGATTTCTCATCAAATTAAATTACTCCTTTTATCGGCAAATAAATCCATATTTTTCTCGTTTCTTAAAAAAATTATTTAATTTGTTTAATTTGTAATAAATTATAAATATATTAATTATGTTATCCTTATGTACAATAGAAAGAGATATTTTTTTTTTAGAAATTATTGCAATAAATGTTAGTTATAAAGTCTTATTCGGACCTAAAATATTTTGTATTTAAAAAATATAGAAAAATAAATTTATTATTACTTTAAATTCATAAATGTGTTTACGTAATATTTTTGCAAATGCCACAGTTATTTGTCCGCGGAGGAAGTATAAAGCAACTTCCATTTTCGTAGGCAGTCTTGGACAAGAATTAATACTGGTTAATGAAAATAAATGAGCAGTCTTGGAAAAATTAAATGTGACAATAAGTAATTATTAAATTGAATTGAATTGTTTGCAAGGTTTTTAAATTTAGATATGTAAATAATTATTTTTTCTATAATAATATTTATACTTATTTATTAAACGAAAGATTTTTATTAATATCTTAATGAGTTAAAGGTAAAAAAGGATAAAATAATTTTTGTTATCTAAATTCTTAATATGCGTATTTTGTCAAATCATGTAAACAAAATGAGACGGAAAGAGTAATTATTAAAAAAAAAAAAGAAAGTTATAAATATCCAAAACCCACTTCTTATAATTATTTTTCTATAAATTAAAACTTTCGCTATAGAGGTCATCCATTAAACTCAAGCTAGCGTACCACCTAAGCCCCTCCTATGTTCGTTTATTTTATTTTATTTATTCTTTCATTTTAGTTGTATATTATTGTGATTTTTTTTTTTTTTTGTCACATTTGACTAATTAAGCTGAAATCATATTTTCAAACATAAGAGATAATAATATTAGAAAAATTGCTTCCACCTAAACTGCCTACATTTACAAAATTATGCTTTGAATTTGTTTGATTGCATGAGCTAACTACCCTGCCTAATATTTTTGATTATTGAATTTTTTCCACAATTGCTTCTCCCTTTCCTTTTCCATAATTAACAATCACATTAATTATTTTAATTGTGACATGCACCCAAAAAAAAAAAATCCCAAAGTTGACCTACTTATTCAAAAATATATTTATTTTTGGCACAAACAAATAGATTTTTACAAAAATAACCATATATTTTTTTTGAATATACAAAAATAATCATATTTAAACCAAGTCGTTTAAGTTACCATAATATTGTAAATTGTATATATGTAGTAACTATGTCTACGAATTATGTATTTCTTATTTAACCAACAAAAAGAAAAAGAAAATATTAGGTTATTTCACTGATTAACAATACATTTCAGTACCCTTTTAGGTCATATAGAAATGGTAAAAAGGTAATATTGTCAAGATGTATAAACTCTGGATCTTAGTTATTGTAAAATAAGGTAGATTAATTGATGATTATGTATAATAAATTAATAATTATATATCTAGTTCTTTCTAGATCTGAGAAACAGTCAAACTTAACCTTTCTGTTCCATTTACCAAACCATCTCCATGTCTTTTTTCTTGGCAAAGAGAGATTCTTCTGCATCGCATCACTCAGTCTTCACCAACTCTTTTATTATGTACAACTATTGATTTCGGCTAACCTTGATTAGTTAGCATTTTGGACTATTTTATCAGTCGGTGACTAAAATAATTGGACAACATTAACAGAAATGTGCGATTTATGAATTAATTATTGTGTTGAAATATTGTATAATTAATTATTCTCTAATTAATTAATTAACAGAAGATATTGAAACTAATCAAATTGACTGCCTCCTAGCTAGATAGCTAGAGGAAGGACAGAGACAGAGGTGAATAGTCTTCTATCTTTAATAATTTTTGATGGACCACTGCTCGTCATTGATCGACTTTCTGAACTTTGACAGTTTCATATACAACTTGCATTTTAACTTCAAAATTTTAAAAATATTTCTGCCTAAAAGTCATTATTCATTATTAGAAATCATTATACTAATATTCATTATACATTAAAAATCATTAGTTAGCAATCACATAATTAGTGATTTCTTTCTTTTCTGGAACCACCATATTCGAAGTTCACTTTACTCTGATTACATTCATTACTCTGATTACATTCAGCTTGAGTGTTACAAGGCTCGTCTAAGACTCTTTCAACTTGGTAATTTCCAACTTAGTTATATAATCAATTCTGACGTCTAATCAATAATTGATCATCGTGAATGAAAAAAAGTTATCCTGCAGTATGATTTTTTTTTCTTTGTATTTATGTCAATTTTTATCGCTATTAAATTTATTAGTGTACGATCTTTCCCGTTAAATCAGACAATGAGATAAAATGAATTGAATAAAAGTTGATGGATGCAGTTTGCCCACAGATACAAAAGAAACCAAAGGAAATGCCAATAGGGTGAAGTAGAGACCGCAGACCGTACAAAATGAGAGAGAGAAAGGGAAATTAGTCACAGCCGCCTGGTCCCAGAGATAACGAACCATCAAAAGTTAAGAATCCATTTCACACGTTTTCATAGCTATACGTCAAGAAATCACAAAGACTTTATTATCGCATTACTAAAGCTAAATTGCAAATTGCCTAGTCTTTACTGTTTTTCTTTTTTCTTTTATTTTTTTAAGAATTTGATTGCTATAAATTTCACACGAGTTTAAAATTTAATAAAACGGTTATTATATAAAGTGGAGGTTTAAGTTTTTTTGCTAAGTTTTTTTTTTTTTTTTTTTTTGGCAATTTCTTATCCTTGCTGAGCTTGCAGTCTCATGTGAAGACAAATCAAAATAGTCACATTATTATTGTTAATAATAATAGGAACCCACATATCAGACAAATCCACAGTAGTTGTCTTTTTTTTTTTTTTTCCTTCTCTTTCTGTCTTTTTTACAAAGGATAATTGTTTTGTTGAAGTCAATTTTACCATGATTAGTTTTTAGGTTAGAGGGTAAAGACATTATCTATATAAAGAGAAGAGAGTGCTGATCGAGAAGCAGAACTAAAACCAACTTTGTAGTGAGGTTTTAGAAAGCATGGGGTCTAATATGGCCTCTCTTATAGTTACTCTTTTAGTGGTCACAGTCTCTTTAAGTTTCCCTTCACAAACCACAGCAAACTACCCATACCACTCTCCTCCTCCTCCCAAGAAATCACCACCTCCACCGGTGCATCCTCCACCTTACCATTACAAATCACCACCCCCTCCTCCTCCAGTTTACTCTCCACCTCCTCCACCACCTTACAAGTACAAGTCTCCACCACCTCCACCACCTGTTTATAAATACAAATCTCCTCCCCCACCACCAGTGCACTCTCCACCACCACCACACCACAAGAAACCATACAAGTACAAGTCTCCTCCTCCACCACCTCCAGTGTACTCTCCTCCACCACCACACAAGAAGCCATATAAGTACAAGTCTCCTCCACCACCACCTTATAAGTACAAGTCCCCTCCCCCACCACCACCAGTGTACTCTCCTCCTCCACCACCCAAGAAGCCATACAAGTACAAGTCTCCTCCACCACCACCCTACGCTACAAGTACAAGTCCCCTCCCCCACCACCACCAGTGTACTCTCCCTCTCCCACCACCCAAGAAGCCAATACAAGTACATAAGTCTCCCTCCACCACCACCCTCACCACAGTAAAGTCCCTCCCCCACCACCACCCTACAAGTACAAGTCCCCTCCCCCACCACCACCAGTGTACTCTCCTCCTCCACCACCCAAGAAGCCCTACAAGTACAAGTCTCCTCCTCCACCACCCTACAAGTACAAGTCCCCTCCCCCACCACCACCAGTGTACTCTCCTCCTCCACCACCCAAGAAGCCATACAAGTATAAGTCTCCTCCACCACCACCCTATAAGTACAAGTCACCTCCACCACCACCTCCAGTTTACAAATATAAGTCTCCACCACCACCACCACCAGTCCACAAGCCACCTCCCCACTACTACTATTCATCTCCTCCTCCTCCTCCTCCTCACCACTACTAGATTACGCGTTCCACAGCTTCAGGTAATCTATTATTGCATTACATTATCCACTATTATTATCATTATCTTGAAACAAAAATTTACTGACCCAATACTGTTTTACATATTTAATGTATATACTTACAGGAAAGGGATGTAAAAAATAAAAAGAAGAGATTCTCGATCAACAGAGAGATCTACAGTGAGGGACAAAAGCGAGCTTCCTTATTTGATGCATGTAGTATATTTTAATGCTTGTTTAGAAGAAGAGAATAAAGGCGTGCATGTAATGTAATGTAGGATATATCATTATTATTATTCAAAGTGTTTAATAATTTCATGTTTTGCTATAAAGTTAGTTATTGGATCCGACCCATTTGCGGCTCTGTCAACAGAAAGTGATGTAGATGTGCTTCGCTGCGTGCTTGTCAAATGAAGGGTTAATTATATTTTATCGTGAGAATAAATACAGTATTCAAAATATCTCAGCCCTCTGTGTTCAAATATATATTATGTTTACATCTATGCATGCATAAAAAACATTGTAAGGGAAACACTAACCTAACCATGGTGCATGGGCTTCGTTAAAGTCTATTTTTTAAGTTATAACAAGAATATTTCTTATTTTATCAAAGAAATAAAAAAGTAACAATTTTTTAGAAGTTCATGGATTGGCTTATATACACTTGGGGTGTGAATGATCTCATATATTAAGCCTATGAAAAAAATATATTTTAAAAACATGTTTGATGTTTTATTTTTTTATTTTCTGATAATATACAGTTAGACGTACTATCATTTGAATAAATGATATATAGATCGGTCATACACTAGGTGTAGGTAAGTCTTTCCACATTATAATTGGATACAATCATAATACTTATTGAATAAACCTGCCATATAGACATATTCAATAAATTCAATTCAAATTGAGCTGAATCAATGCATAAATTTTTTAGATGCAAATCGAACTAAATTGAACAAGATATAAAATGGAAGCATATCAGTTCAGGTCAATTTGGTTTTTTATTTTTTTTCAGCTAAATTTGGACTTTTTTTAATGAAAATAGTTAAATTTGAACTTATTTTTCAGTTTTAAACAATCATTCATTTTTTTTTTCATTAAGACTATATATATATATATATATATATATATAAGTCAACTGGAATTGAGTGCTTGGTTTCAATAACTAATAAATATGCGGTCGAATATCAATATAAATAGAACCCTTGTAGTCATATCCTTGGCAAATTTGGTTTATTATATTCGTCTCATAAATGAAAAATGGCAATTTCAAAATTGAACACCATAATTTGCTAATTAATATACGTGTAAAAATTATTCCCTCCGTCTCATTTTATTTACATAGTTTGACAAAATACGCATATTAAGAATTTAGTTAACAAAAGTTATTTTGCTCTTTTTTTACCTTTTAACTCATTAAGTTAATAATAAAAGTGCTTCATTTAATGAACAATCATAAAAGTTATTATGGGAAAAATAATTGTTTATATATCTAAATTTATAAATCTTACAAATATTTTGGTACATCTAAAAAAGAAATAACAAGCAAATAAAATGGAACGGAGAGAGTATAATTTTATTTTATTTAGTATAAAAAGTTTAATCAATTATTTGCCACACTTTTTTTCAATACTCCTCATGATTGTCATCTAATAATTGGAAAAATATGTACTATAGTAATATCAAATAGAAAAAACTCCGGTTTCTTTTGAAAAATATATTACTATTATTATTTAGTTACATTATTGAAAATTAGGTAAAAAAATGTTATAATTTATAATTTATAAGACTATAAAATTATTTAAAATTGCATGAATTTCATATTTGAAAATTTTTTTATTAAATATAAAAAAAATATAATATGATGAGTTATAATAGTCGCTAGTGAATATTGGTTATGGCCTACAGTAGCTAGTGACCAGTACTGATAATTGATGCCAAATAGAATTGATTTCTCAATTTCATTTTAAATACTCATCGTTAACTATAGATAAAAGATAAAAGGAATATGACCTAGTAATCTTTTTTTAACTAAAGATAAAAAAAAAAAATATTTATCTTTTTATAGACAAAGATGAAAGAAAAAAATATTAGGTCAAAATTTATTTATTGTTTAACTGAAGATAACTTCAATAAAGATAAAACTACCCTACAAATTTAGGCTTACAACTAAACTAATAACAAATCATAACTGAAAAATTTTTTTTTTTTTGAAGAGGAGAAAGAGAGATCTTGGAGTAGTAAATTGCTAATAATTTTATTAGGTCAATTGATGAGCATTAATTAATTGTTGTGCATTTTCCATTCAATCATTCGATATGAAGTCGAGCTTTAATCTTACGTGTGAAAGCAAAAGTAATATTTTTCTCATTTTAATTAAAATATATTGAAAAGTCTTTTTCAAGAAAATTGAGTTGTGTCTCTCACCTACTACCTAGACATTACTTTTTGCAACCATACAATAATCTATTCTATTCCAGCAATATTAATACAAAGAAAAAATAGATATACAGTTCAAGATTTTAAAATACTATTTTTTTTTTCATCAGGTACTATTGACAAGGATGGGTATTATCATCTACGTTACGCAGGAAATGCTGCAATTTTAAATAAATTTAATACAATTATAATTTTTTAGATACAAATTAAAGTTCAATAAGGGCAGTCCAAACCATAAGGTGCAGTATGTAATTGCAGTATGTAATTACAAAGCATTTATTAGTGGGTGGAGGAATCAAAATTGTCATTTGAACCAAACTGATTTTAATTAAATCAACTGATTTTATTGATTTTTTATATGTCGGTTTGATTTTAAACCCGATTAATGAATTTCAGTGAAATTGACTCGAATCAAATAACAAATTTATTTCATACTAAATAAACTGAACCTCTTTGAATAGTTGAACAAATTGAACTGAAATTGGTTGGTTCGGTTTTTAATTCGGTTCGCGGGTGATTTTGCACGACCCTTAGTTATATCAGGCAAGAACATTTCTTGGTATGGTAAGATCGAAATTGGCAAAATTGTTGGTGTCAGAAGTTTCTTTGCTGCATTGGACCAACTTGCAAGTTCAACTAAAAAAATAATTAAAACAAAAAGAAGCAAAAGATTATATGCTGAGCACTTCTTCACCTACAAGGCAAAAAATCCACAATAAAATGCAAAACAAAAGACAAACTAACTCCTCAGATTTTGCTTTAAATTTAAAAATAAATTATCATATTTATGCAATTTCTTCACATAGGTCCCCCAAGTTGTCTGCCCATTTGCATTTTCTTTAATTTGATAAAATTTATAAAATTTTAATTAATTACACATAAATATAGAAACAATTTAGTTTTACTTGCCCTTGGCCCTCCTACCCTTTAATTATTTTAAGGTATGTGTATTTAATTATCTAATTGTCTTATTTGATTAGGATTCCTTCTAGATCATATATATATAATGTTTTTTAGACAAGTTGATGGTGGCCTTGAAAATATGTTGGATTCTCTCTCATTAGAGATACATTGTCAACAAACTAAATCCTTTGCTTTTTTTTTTTTATTAGTTCTGAAGATGTTTAGATCTTGCACATGTAAAAGAAGAAAAAAAAAAAAGAATTTCAAGCTGGATATATTATGAAAGAAATTTTCCAAATTAGGATTTCTTTTGTAAATAGAGTGATAACCATTTATCAGTTAGCTTTAATTTGTTATGGTATTTTTTTTATTTGTCTGATGAATTAATTAATTTTTCATTTCAATTTTCATGTTTCATCAAAGGTAAATGAAAATTTTATATTTTTATACTTTATATTAGATGAAATACAGCACATTTTAAATTTAACAATTCATCAAATAAATTAATTCACAAGTTAACTCTAATTTGAATCCTCCAAATCTTAATGGTCATTCTTTCTAACTATTCATTCCGTTCCCAAATACTTTTCACATTTAGGTATTTTACGTCCCTTAAGAAAACCATTAATTTGTTTGAATTGCGATAAATTATTAAGTGAATTGATTATACTATCCTTAATTTATCTAAATTACAGTGAATTATTAAGGAATTGAACAAATCACTATTGGTTATATACAAAAGGGCAAAAAAAAAAGTATTATTTATGAAATCCTCAAATATGAAAAGTATTTCGAAACGTATTACTTTTTCAAAATGTGATAAATATTTAAAAACAGATGGAGAAAATAAAATTACCATGTGTCATATCGGTAGGTTATGTCAATAATATTATTGAAAATAATTTCTCTTCCTCTCAAAAACTTAAAAGTTCTTTCTTTTTCTACAGGCAACCATCCATTGTCATCTTTTTTTTTTCTAGCTCATTTTTTTAAAATTTTTTTTGTATTTTTTTTTTTCCGAATAATCTCAACATTTGTATCTTTTGATGCAAGTCTGAGTTATTGTTGCCCACATATTAAGATTTTATTCTCAATTCTAATTATTTTAACAGTTTTTGAGTATATTGTTCTCACTTTTATAGTGATTTTCATTGCGGTATTTTGTTATATAGTTATGCAGAAAAAATGTGTAGATGTCATTTCTGATACAAGGAATAAAACTGATAGTATATCATACATGTAGAAAGATTATGGAATCAAATGGTGGCCATAAATAACCACCAAGTGCACCGAACAATCACTTACTACGTATATTTACAATTTGTTAATTCGATTATATTTCAAATTAAAATTATATTTTATTATTAGATTTTCTATATAAAAATATAAAAACTTATTAATTTGCATTAGGTATATGATTTTCTTTTAATAAAATTTTTACTTCTGATTTTTTCAAAAAAAAAAAAAAGATAGAATTATGAGGAATCACCATTTGAATGTGAACAAACAATTTTAAGTCAAATTTACATGTCAATTCCAAATCTATCACTTCTAATTGGGATTTCTTAAAACTTAATATAAAACATAAAAGACACGAAATCACGCTTGACGGCCCACGTGGGAATCTCAATCTGTTAGCCTCTTGTCTTGTTTCTACCTTCAACGAAAATGGTACGAAATTTCCAGCAGCCTCAATTATATACATCAAAATTCAATCTTTTACTATTAAATAATAATGCAGGTCAATCATCAATGAAACGTTTATCTTTCTACTAAAACCATACCATTAAATAATAATTTTTTATTTAAATACTTTTTTCGTAGTGCTAAAAAATTATAAACTTGACAAACTATAGTTTAAAATTATATGACCCATTATTTATTTTTAATTAATTATTAAATTAAGAAAAAACAATTAAATTTTTAAGCAGGTTGCTCCAGATATATATTTTCCCGTTCCAGATCACGGTCAATGTTTGTGTTATGGCACGTGCCCTCACGTGTAATTGGTCTGAAAACTATTTTATCTGACCAAGGGGTGTTCATAGTAAGGCTGAACTTATTTGATTAAACAAACGAAATTGATCGAATCCAACTAATTTGGTTCGAATTTTATCATAT